TCTGTCAAAAACAAAGTCAGGAAAGTCCTTATGGTCAGACTGTGACAGTACCATAGAAGGGGGGTATGATGCAGGTACATATTTCATTAACATTTAAACTTGAAAAATGCTTCTTTTATAAGCCCATTTATGTTCTGCAAGTTTGAAAAATGCTTCTTTTATAAGTCCATTTATGTTTTGCAAGTTGTAATTTAATTTTCATACTACTTTAAATATAAAATATGATACTGAACCATCCACTAACAATCAAAAATACGAAATGTGGAAAAGTGAAAACCATTAAGTCAAAGCTTAGCTTATCAATTCCAAGGAACTCAACATAGGTCAGATCTCTACGTTTCAAGCGATGGAGACATATGGGGACATTGGAATCAGCATGAGAAACCTTCCCCACTCAAGCACAACTTAAGTCCTTATTGAGTGCCCCATACATGAGTTGAACCAAAATGACATGCCTGTCAACCAGACTTCATAGACTCTTAAAAATATCTTTATGCCATAGAGGGATATGTGAAGTTCACACACTTCTTTGTTGCTTTCCCATTCAATAGTTGGGGGATGAGACATGCACACTCTTCTATATCTCTGCTGAGAAAGCTCCTTTTATGTCTAATCAATCTTTGTAGAAAGAATGGGGAGAGGACTTTGATGGAGTCAAGCCTGAACATTGAGGCAAACTTGATAGTCTATTCCTTGAATTTAAGTCAACATCTCCCATATGTCTCGTTTATGGGTTTTCATTTCTTCTACTATTGCTCTTTTCCACTGTGTTTCTGAGCTTCATGATACGAGATTTTCATCAGGATGTTGACCGTGAGCAAACGTGACTTGATGTAGAAAAGTGGAGAAGTCCCACATTATATAGAGTTAGGCAAGGTTTATAAGTGAAACAATTCATAAACCATAGCTTCAAGGTTTAGGGTTGAGAAGGAGTGTTGAGCCCACTTATATGCATTCTCTTGTTGCTATTGGGCCTAGTCGGATTGTCCCCATTTTCTGGAAGCTTCCTAGGCCCAACAAAATAGCACCAAAGGCCTTGGTTTGTCAAGGTCATGGATGAAGATGATAAAAAAATCAAGTTTGAACAGCATCCATATCGAAAGTTCAATTGTCATGAAAGTGGGCTAATGCCTTCAAAATATGGCCAGATAGGAAGAGAATGTTTGTGGTCACATGGTTAACTCTCACTTGAGGGAGGAATTGTTGTGATATCAAGTGTGAGTGGACTTGACTCGATGGGGAAAGGCGGAGAAGTCCCATATTGAATGGAGCTATGCTGAAAAAGAGGCATATAAAAGAAAGTATATAAGTGAAGGGTGTCAAGTTTACTTATATGAATCCTCTTGTTGCTACTAGGTCTGGTTGGATTCTCCCTCTTTTTTGAGATGCTTCTTGAACCTAACAATGATATTTATGAGACATCGTCCAATTTGATGTTGAGTGCGAGATTCGATATTCTTCCCTAAGGATGTAGACCAATTTAATTCCCCATTAGCCCTTCTACAAGATTCGTGGTGTCACTCATGAGAATGAGTGACTATAACCTCACGAGTTTTCCTCTTTAATAGACATAAGGTCATGCATAGTTTTCAATATACGGGTGAATTTGGTCATTCCTAGGGGTCAATTTAGTTTCAGATTCATCATGACTGTTTTCAACGGTACACTAGAAGACCAAATCAGATCAATTCATGCTAATTAAATCACAAGTTGCACTCTCTCGATTACACTTTTAATTATGAGCTTTCATTTAGTGTTCATACAAAATTATAACACTAAAACATCATCAAAGCAATATAGACTAAATACAAAAAAAAAAAAAAAAAAACTAATAGACTAAATCAAAACACACACACACACACACACGCAACTACAATACCCCACTTCAATTTTTAATTATGAGCTTTCATTTAGTGTCCATACAAAATTATAACACTAAAACATCATCAAAGCAACATAGACTAAATACTCAAAAATACTAATAGACTAAATCAACACACACACATACACACAACTACAATACCCCACTTCAATTTCATGAGTCCAAAGGCAGAAACGATTTGAGAAACCAACATGGGCTGTCATACAATGTTTCCTTCTTACAATTCACAGTTCCTAAATTAAGGATTAACTCTGTAATTGGAATAAAATATGGAAACTTAATTACATCACAATTGCAAACTGAAATTAACAGATACCTTCCACCATAGAGAAGAAACCCAAGAGCAGCAAACAAAGAGACCCCTATTACACATAAATGAATTAGCAACAATTCATGACAGTCATAATCAATAAATAATTTGACCATAACAAATAGTACAAGTTGAGTCTAAAGTAGACAAACCTGCAAAGAACATCTTCGACAGGACAACCAATAAATTGACGGGCTTCCACCATAATATCAGCCACAAAGCGATCTGGCATACATTCAGAAAACAAAACAATTTAAAATTGTCGAACACAAAGGTACCAGCAACATTAAAACTCATGATATCGATAATTTCCAAGTTTTACACTGTTGCCATTAGACACCAGGACACATTTTCATATCAATTAATTACTCCTAGCATCTTTAAGGCCACAGCCTAATTTTTACTCCCACACAATTTGACCATAGTCACACATCACAAGCAAAGCTTAGGCGCCTGACATTTCTTTTTACAAAGATGTGAGGAGATGAAGGGAATAGAGTATTAAATAAGACCCTCCAACTTTCTTCTTAAAGGGACATCATCGACAAACTCATCAACCAGGTATGAAATTGTTGTACTAAGGCCATTAAAAAACGAGTTACATTTAACACAGTACAACAAACATATCTTTGTACGGTCTCTTCAGATCTTAACATCTTTAAACATAAAACTGTTTACACAGAAGTCCATCAATACTTCAGCAAGCGATCCAGCAAATACCAATTTCAACCTAAACGACCAAGCAAACTAGATGACCCATAGCTGGGACCTCCAAACAAAACTCAGGCAAGAAGTTTCACCTGAACGGCATATACTACAGCATTGATTACATAGAAGCTTGGCCTCAGTCTGTCAGTAGACACAGCACGTGCCTGAAAGATATCAACGTTAACACGGTGAGCAGATCACCAACTTGTAAAATATGCTAGATTGCTAAAATTGAAGAAAAACCAAAAGAGTTAGACAAGATTAATGTTCAACAAATTAAACTGGACTTGCCTGGTAGTATATCTCTGCCCAGAATAGGACCAAGAGTGCATACGTTGTGAAGAAAGCAAGACTTGGCATATCAAGTATGATATGTTGGACAATCTACATACAGGCAATCTAAATATTAGATGCTTGGACAAATACAGCATTATGGCATCACAAGGGGAAGATTGTGTTCCTACCTCTGGCTTCAACTTCTGCACGTCCCGGCGGAATATAAATACAAAACATCGAACTACAAAAGCAGACCGGTATATATTATTGCAGATATTATTCCCACATTTACAGTCGAATTAACATTTAAATCAATAAACACATGGGGAGAATTAAATAATACAAACCCCCGTTCACCAAAAATTGAGAAAGTGAAAGACTTTCTGCGTGGTCCAACCATATTCCGGTACTCTCAATTGTATACGAACTAGTTGAACCTAAAAACATATGGAGCAAAAAAAAATCCAAGTGAATAGGCGTAAAATCTTCATGGCTTCTACAGTTAGACATAATCGCATGTCCCATTCTCTTCAAGCATTCAATGACATACGAAAACCCTAAAAGCCCTTATCCAATAAAGAATTTCAAATCTGCCCAAAAAGCGATTGACGGCGAACGGCAACCCAGAAAGACTCAGCAATGACATTACAAACGTGGAAGCGTTGGGACGGGATTGAAATTACCACAGCAACGACAGCTACGATCCCATAAAGAGCAGCGAGAACGTGGAAGATACGATCCTGCCAGACCGGAGAATCATTGACGTCGTGCCACCAACTGGAGGATTCCGTGAGCTCGATGGCCGCTACAGCCAACCCCACCGCGGAAGACGTCGACACCGGCACGCCGTTGCGACCCATTCAAATTGATTCGATTGTAAGTACGCGCCGGCGAATCTTGTTAGCAAAATCACAAGCGACCTAGATTAATTCGTGAAGACGAAAGAGGAAGGACAGAAGCAGATTATGGACCCTTTTTTATTTCTTTTTTATTTTTACAGTTTCTTCTGTTTTTTTCCTCGAACCTCAAACGACCGGCACGAATCCAAGAAACGCAATGGGGCGCAACCGGCTAGAGGGGCAATGGACGTCTCTGGAAGATGACCGATGATAGCCGGTCTGCCTGGGGTTTCAAATCCAGGCTTCATCAATCATGGGGCAACGTGTACAAGCGGAATTTTTGTTTTTTAGACCAAAATTATTATTTTGATCATCAATTTAATTGAAGAAATTTGGTTCAAATTTTTCCCTTGAGAAATATATTGGCCAAAGGACTCCAGTCTTCTTAAGTTGTGTGCAATTATCTTTAAGTACGTATAAAAAAATCTTTAAAAATGACTGAAAATATGTTGCACAAAAAAAAGTTTTATCATTCAAATTCATATCTTTATCTCTTAAAAATTTTTAAATAAGTACTTCTCAGCGAATTTTTCTTTAATTTAATTCTCGTTGTTGAAAAGTATTGCGTATTAACGATATTGTAATAAACTTATTAAATTTTATTACGTTATATATATACATTTTTTATTGTCATTTAATTAAAACATATGTAGACGAGTTGTTTTTAGATAATTAAATTGAAAAAAAAACCATTCATGGGATTGGAAAACCTTTTTTAAATTGATAAAAATAAAATTAGGATGAAAATAAGAAGCTATAATGAATGATTAGTAGTTGGACGGTGGATGTTGATTTTAAATATTGTTTTAAAACAATTCATTATCTTTTTAGCTTTTATTGATGTATTTTATTGGTTGGATTGATTGGTTGGAATGAGGGGTAAAAACTGAAAAAGGAGGGGAAAGGCGAGATCGGAATGTTTGGTTTTATAGGGACACTTTCAAAGTCATTATTATTCTATGGAATCTTTTTTGAGCTCAGTTCTTTTCCATGGAGTGGGGAAAGAAGAAATGGCGTGCCATGCTTGGGAATCCACGTCAAAAATGTCTGTCTCACGGTTACTTCTGATTTTAAATATAAAATTTATTTTATAATATAAATTATATTATAAAATAAGTTTTATATTTAAAACCGAATTATTTTTTTTTTTGATAAAAATGTTTTATTCATGCATGTATATGGGGGTTTTGATTTTGGTCCCTGTCACGAATTAACTCGCTTTGTTTATTTTAAATTTCATTTTCGCCCCTTAATTAAAGTGAGAAAAAAAATTCCTTCTTCATCTTTTCAGCCTCATCGTTTTAGCCATCCAGGATAATAAATCTATTCATTACTAATGAACTTGTGATTTAATAATATGAAAGCTTTTATATGAACAAGTGATTATGTGTTCAATGAGGCTGTTTTTTTTGTTTTTTTGTTTTTTGGTAACATCAATGAGGCTGTTTTAAATAAACATGATGCCGTTATTCGTGCAATGTATGACGTGGAACTCTTATCCGTAAATTAATATATTCCCCCAAAAAAAAATTCTACATATTTGCTTTCTTGCAGTGCCATCTCAATAGCATAAGAAATACTCCCTCCGTTCCTTATTATAGAGACATTTGATGCTTATGGCATGTTCCTATATATAAGAGACACTTACAAGTTGTCTCTATTTTTTTGTGTTGATTTACTATTTTACCCAATTTATTATCTCCAACTCACACTTTCTCTCCCTTCCACTTCTCTTTCTTTGAATAATTTAATTGTTCTCTCTTATACTCTCTCTCCTTATTAATGAGGGCATTTTTGGAAAAAAATTATACTTTTTACACATTAATTGTTCTTAACTAATTTTAACTGTTTTTTGATCAACGTATTTCGGTTATTTGTCTCTTATAATAAGGAACGGAGGGAGTAATAATTATATTCAAGCAAAAAAAAAAAACTATGTAATATTTTGTATTTAGAAATTTCATGCAAGCTCAAAGCCTTCGTTTATAAATGGTTCATTGGTTTGTAGCATTCCCAAATTTCAATTTAAAGAAAATTATTGATTAAATATTCAAAGATTTAGCTGAAGAATTTTTTTTAGATAAACTACTAGGCGCTGATTTGCAGTGAAATTAAGCTAAAAAAAATAAAGTGCCTGACTGGCAACTCGTTTGAGGAGGAGAAAAGTAACTTATACAGGTGATAACTCAATTTGTAAATTTGAACATTGTTTGTTACAGTTTTTTAGCCAATCTAATTTATAGGTGAAAAGTTATTTTTTTAAGTACGACCGTAAAAGCACATAAAATTTATTTATGACTTATGCAAAAATAACTTTTTAAAATTTAAAAGACATTTTTATGCTTCTCTTTATATTCCTTCTGCTTCCCGATTAATTTTTAGTTATTTATTTTTAATATTCTCTTAAGTGAAATTATTTTTTAACATTTTTAATGATGTTTTTAATTTTTAATTTTAATCTTTAATATTATTTTTCATTTTATGTTTACATAAATTATCCAGAGTATATCATCCAATTAATTATTTAATATTATTTGTTTTAAAAAATTTTACATTGATTTCTAATTTAAATATATTTTATTCATTAAATATAACTTCTTCATATTATAATAATTTAAAATTATTATATTTTATAAATTCATATTTTTATTATTTATTATTATTTAATAAAAGTTATACTCATTTTGGTCATCCTACAAACTAAATTTAGTTATTCAATCATATTTCAAACAACTTTTTTACTTTATAAACTAACTTTTATAAAAGTTAATCCAAACATAAATTGCATTACTCAATCTAACTTTTACTCAATCTCATTTTTTAAAATTTGGATTGAGAAAAATTATTTTGTCTACCATTAATCCAAACAGATCCTAAGTATATCTCAGCAATCCATATGAAGTAATTTTGTTAAAATTTAATTAAATGCCGTCCTGAAAATTTTTGAACATTTGAGAATTAAAAGAACTCTGCGCCACAGCAATAGAACCGTTTTTATAGGGACTGGATTATAAAAAAATAAACTATAAATATTGATCTATTAATTGTTGTAACCAATGGGTATTAAAAGATTAAACGTTTCTTAAATTAAGTTAAAATAAAGCTGAACAGTTTCACCCATGCAAGCATACTACTAACCATTTTTCCAAATAATACGCACATTAAAAAACAAGTCGTCAAACTGGTTGAGGCACACAACATCTTTACGCTGTAATATAAAATTTAGTTTGTAGTGTAAAATACCCTACAAACTAAATCTCATTCAGAATCAGCGGTCAAAAGTGCAATGGATGGAACAGCTACAATTTCAGTTTCAGACTCACAAATGTTGTCCTCATCTCACTCTCTCCGCATTCTAAACCTAACGGGTTAATAATGCTGTTTAAGAGCAATATTACAGTACAAAGTAGTTTACAAAGGCTGCTATTCTAGCTCACCAATGAAAGAACCATAAATTTAAACAACACATAGGTAACGACAAAGCAACAAAAGCCCTTTGTGATGATCTCATCATGTTCATCAAAGTTACATTCAATGTGTAGTACGGAAAAGAAAAGAGAAACTGCCAAACCTTCAACCAAACAGCCACATGCCTAGGGCTCGTCTCAGTGCCCCAGAGATAAAGGAACACACAATGGGCCACACGGTACCAAGTCCCCAAAACTTCAGTAATGAACCTTTGCCAAAAAATTTTGACTGGAGCACCGAAAGAAGTTATTGGCAGAAAACTATTCAATGTCAATATACTTTCTGATTTGGACGAAGTCCATCAGATCTTCTGTTCGAGCGTCACATCAAGTATTCCAATAGATATTTTAGGTTGGAAGTGTTCATCTGTATCCACTTCTTCAATTTCCTGGCAGAAGATTTGTTAGGTTGAATGTCAAGCGTCAATCATAAACATAAATCCCATTGGCTATCATGTAAAATTATTGTGGGATTCAATAACACAACTTTTTATTCGTAGAAACACAGGCATGTAATTGACATTGCATTTAAACTGAACAAAAATATTTTTCTTCCAAACAAGTAGCAAATCTTAGTACACTGAACTAAATTTATCCAAACGTAGACTCAAAATGGCATAGCAAGACATTTAGCCATGATCTATTACGTCCAAAACTGAACTTCAAACAAAAAGGGATTCATAAACATCAATGGGCGTCAAAACATAAAAGGTGGGTGAAAAGCTTTTCCAGAGTCAATCACATGAAAGGGGCAACAGACCCCCCCAAAAAAAAAACCACAAAAAAAAAAGACACTTCTGATGAAAACAGAGCAGACTCAGTCACCTGAACAACATCCTCTCCCTTGATGACTCGGCCAAATATAATAAGCTTCTCATTTAGATCTGGTATTGGTGCAGTTGTAATGAAAAGATCAAATTTTTTGTTCAAGTGTTTGCCCTTGGAAGTTCCAAGCATGAACGCTTCATGCTTCACACTAGTAAACATCAAAGAATTTATTAATTAAAAAGGAAATATATTCAACACACAACAACGGTGGTCTTCAGATTGCAGAAGCATCAAAATATAAAACCAAAAGAATAATAAAACCTCGAATAATGTTTTCCTCTTAGGTTCCAATCTTCTGTCGCCCCAGTCCCTTGGTTCTCTCCAGCCTGAATCACATAGTGCTTAATTACATGGTGGAAAAGCATTCCCTTGAATTGCCCTTTTTGACTGCAAAAACAATGCAGTTTAGAACAAAGAACTAAACAAAAGGTAAGATAAATTCAAGAAACTCCATGAGAGAGACCAATTTTTTTACAACTCAGTGGCCTCAGAAATTGTGCCTTCAGTTTATTCTGTAGGAAAAAAAAAGTAGGGAAAAGCGGGGATCAATCCCTTTGAGAAACTAATCGGCAAATGGTCCATAAGGACTTTGTGCGACTCAACTTTCCTTGTGTACAATCATCCTCCCTTGTGTGATATCTTTGCTTTGTGCAACTGAACTTTTCTTGTGTGCACACCATCTTTCCTACCTATAAGTGAGTCCCTTATGTCCAAATAATGTTTTGTACAAACAATTTTCTCTTTGTACAATTTAACTTCCCTTGTGTGCAACTTATCATCTGTTAAGCGATCTGTCATCC